AGTCGAAGAAAACGGTTGGCGAAAGTGCTACGTCCAGCATACGGGCTCGATTGGAATTTGAGCTGAAGGCGGTGGAAGAACAGCAGAAGATCCAGGAAGAAGAGTTGGCTGCCGACAAAGAGCAGAAAGACCTCGAACGGAGGCTCGAAGAGGAAATGCAGGAGAAGGAGTTTGCGATCGAAACCAAGCGGATCGTCGAAGCTAAGGCTGCTTTACGGCTAAAGATTGCGGATGAGCGGGAATATAAGATGCAGCAGATGGCGATTAGGAGGCAATCGGCGGAGCAGAAGGCTAAGCTAATTCGGCAGGCGTCCGAGTATGGCAGCAGCAGAAGTAGTTTGATTGGTACTGATACCGATTCGAAGGACAAAGTGGAGGATTGGCTAAAGAAGTCGACGTAGCAGACAGCGGGACCGATAAAGGAGTTCACGTCAGCACTTGACTCTAGCAGCGGTCCAACACAGGTACCCCTTGAACAAAATACTAACCATCAAACATCAGCCAATATTAGGACAGATAGGAGCTTAGATCTTCCCCCTCTAACAATACAAAATAAAGTTGCCTCTAACACAAAATCTACCCACATACAACCTTTTGTTAGCGGATAAAGGGCAGCAAGCTCACGCGAATGCTTTCGATAATCGACATTTCGCTGATAAGTTTGGCCAACTAAATATGGGAGAAGATTCGAGATTACAAGCTTGTGCTGACGACCACAACGTGGGTGTGTCAGAAAATCATCTTCACACACACACTCGTGTACTTGATTGAGGTGGTCATGGAAGTCGTTCGTTGAATATGGGTGAAGTGTTGATTCCTATTACCGACAGAAACGAACAACGAAACATTCCAGTGCATCCGGTTGAATTTCGGGGCAATCAGACGGCAAACGACCAAAGCGAGACAGGAGTTGGTAGCAGAAATGGACAACCGGTGTCGTGTAGTAATGCGCGTACCAACCAAAGGAGCGATAAAGAAGAACATTACACAGATGGCCCGACAAATCGACAGCTGGCTGCTGGGGAAGGATTTACCGATGTTTTCGGGTAATCCGGAAGAATGGCCAATATGGATCAGTAACTTCCAGCGGTCTACTGCAACTTGCGGTTTCTCCGACGACGAAAATCTCATCCGCCTTCAACGCTGTCTAAAGGGTTCAGCCCTTGAAGCAGTGCGCAGTCGACTACTTTGTCCCACAAGCGTACCACACGTCATTAAAACCTTGGAGATGCGGTACGGACGACCAGAAACACTCATCCGTTGCATGACAGAGCGAGTTCGGCAGTTACCACCGCTGAAGGCAAATGATGTGGAGAGTATCATCGAATTCGGACTGGTGGTGGATAGTTTGGTTCAGCATCTTGAGAACGTGGGACATCAGGCACATCTATCCAACCCATCACTGTTACATGACGTGACGTGCAGGCAGCCGTATCAACAAGTCATCTTAGCGAGTTGAAGACGTTAAGAGGACCGCTTTTCAGAATCATTCCTGTTACGTTATATGGGAAGAACTGCAAGGTGGACATCTATGCTTTCGTCGATGAAGGGTCGCAGATAACTTTGCTGGAGGATTCGGTTGCAGATCAACTTGGAATAGAGCTTAGAGAAATAATAATAATAATTATTTCTCTAAGAATAGAGGGAACTACGGAGCCGCTGAACTTACAATGGACTGGTAACATCAAGCGCAGCGAACCAAATTCAAGGCGGATCAGTGCTCAGATTTCCGGTAGTGGGTTTTCGAAGCAGTACATACTGGTGAATGCGCGTACTGTCGGCGGACTGTTGCTTCCCTCGCAAAATATGGACTACAGCGAAATGTCTAGAAGATATCCTCATCTGCGTGGTTTACCGCTACAGAACTATAAGAAGGTGTTCCCAACACTCTTGATCGGTTTTGACAACCTGAAACTCACAGTGCTGCTGAAAATCAGAGAAGGAAGGTGGGAAGAACCAAGAGCCGCATTGGATGGAGCATCTACGGATGTACGTCAGATCCGCAATCAACAGTTGTTTGTGGGTTTCATGTTGGAGGATGGACCGATCCAGAGCAAGAACTAAACCAACTAGTTCGTGATTACATCACACTGGACAACATCGGCGTATCACATCCTTCTACTCCGCTGGAATCCGATGAAGACAAGTGAGCAAGGATGCTTCTGGAATCTACTACCCGAAGAGTCGACGGAGGTTTCGAAACGGGTTTGCTTTGGAAGTGGGATAACTTGCGGTTTCCAAGCAGCTATAGAATGGCATACAAACGAATGTGCTCACTCGAGAGGCGCCTCAATCAAGATCCTGTTCTGTATGATCGAGTTCGGCAGCAGATACGAGACTACGAAGCAAAGGGGTATGCGCACAAGGCTACGGATTATGAATTGTCAACTATCGATCCAGATCAATGCTGGTACTTGCCACTGGACATTGTCCTGAACCCGAAGAAACCGAACAAGTTGAGGATCATTTGGGATGCAGCTTCTACGGTCGATGGTGTTTCACTCAACTCGGCATTGCTGAAGGGTCCTTATTTCCCTCTTCCGTCGGTCATTGGCAACTTTCGACTGTACCGTTTTGCTCTAACCGGTGACATTAAGGAAATGTTCCATCGGTTCTTCATACGGATTCAGGATCGTCAGTTTCTGGTTCAGGTCGAGATCCGGTGATCTACGTCATGGACGTAGCTATCTTCGGGGCTTCGTGCTCACCGAGCTGCGTTCAGTACATCAAAAACTTGAACGCAAAAGAGTTCGAAGCGGATTTCCCATGAGCATCAGCGACCATTATCCATCGCCATTACGTGGATGATTACCTGGATAGTTTCGGAACTGTAGAGGAAGCAATGAAGATTGGCAGCGAGGTCAAGAAAATTCACGCCAAAGGAGGGTTTGAGATCCGTAACTTCTTGTTCAACGATCCAGCGATTGCAGCGCATGTGGGAGATGAATCAACGGCAGTGGAGAAGGATATCCAACCAGAACACGATGAACGAATCGAGTCAGTATTAGGCATGAAGTGGATACCGAGCAGTGACACCTTTACCTATACGGTTTCCTTGCGAGACAACCTGAAGCATGTTCTGGATGAGTCTCATATCCCAACGAAACGAGAAGTCTTACTCACAGTATTGAGCTTCTTCGACCCAATGGGATTAATTGCGTTTTTCCTGATCCACGGAAGAATACTGATGCAGGATGTATGGGCGGCACGTATTGGTTGGGATGATCAAATCAACGAGAAGCAGAGATTGCAGTGGAGGGACTGGATCAATCTCGTTCCAAACCTGGACACTCTGCGAATCCCGAGATGCTATTTTCCAGACGCTGTTGAGGAAACGTATTCATCTTTGCAAGTCCACGTATTCGTAGATGCAAGCAGATCTGCATATGCATATGCAGGGTCCTGAGGTTAGTCTTGTAGCAGCGAGATCAAAAGTAGCTCCGTTGAAGATGCTGACGGTTCCACGACTCGAACTTCAAGCAGCTGTTCTAGGATCACGCCTTCTCCACAGCATCGTAGACATGCACGCTCTTCCTGTAAAGAAGCGTGTACTATGGTCAGATTCCAGTACCGTTCTCGCATGGATTAGGTCAGACCAACGCCGCTATCACCAGTACGTGGGGTACCGGATCGGGGAGATATTATCCACGACAGATGTCAGCGAATGGAGGAAGATTGGATCGGTATTGAACGTATCGGATGATGCAACCAAATGGGGTTCCGGTCCAAATATCAGCTCTGACAGCCGGTGGTTCCGTGGGCCAGATTTTCTAAGGCAACCGGAAGAATCTTGGCCAGGCAGTGATGAACCGATAAATCCCACTGAAGAAGAGCTAATTGCTTGCAACGTGCATCGTTATGTACCGGATCCACTGATTAATACAAATAGGTTAAGTAAGTGGACGAAGCTACACAGAACTATGGCGTTCGTGCATCGATTCATCAATAATATTCAGTGGTCGAAGCGGAGAGAAGTACTGGTTCAAGGAGTTCTAACACAGGACGCCGAAAATTCGTTGTAGAAACTAGCGCAGGTCAACATCTTCGCATTGGAAATAGAAATTCTTAAAGCGACGATGGGAGAACCGGAAGCTCGACATGGAATACTGCCGAAGTCTAGTACAATATACAAGCTGTGGCCGTTCATGGACAAGAATGGAGTGATACGCAAACGTAACCAATTGGGGAATGCTGAATGGATACCGTACCGAACCAAGTACCCGGTAATTCTGCCCAGAAAGCATCTAATCACGTTTCTCCTCGTCGACTCATTCCATCGCCGTTTCCGTCACTGCAATCGTGAAACAGTTGTCAACGAGATAAGGCAGCTCTACGAGATTACAAAACTGAGATCACTGGTTACGAAAGTCTCGGAAAGTTGTATCTGGTGTAGAGTTCTTCGCGCTTATCCACGCTCGCCGCCGATGGCGCCGCTGCCGAATATCCGGCTAACTCCGTATGTACGGCCGTTCACATACGTAGGCGTAGATTATTTTGGCCCAGTACTGGCGAAGGTTGGTCGCAGCAACGTTAAACGGTGGATAGCCCTGATCACCTGCTTGACTATCCGCGCTGTTCACCTGGAGGTTGTTCACAGTCTATCGAAGGAATCCTGCGTCATGGCTGTAAGAAGATTCATATCACGATGAGGTTCACCGGCTGAGATATTTAGCGACAACGGGACGAATGTTCACGGTGCGAACAATCAGCTGAAACGGGAGATGGAGGAACTCAACAATCATCTGGCTAGAACCTTCACCAACTCTGCGACTCGTTGGTCGTTCAACCCGCCATCCGCACCACATATGGGTGGTGTATGGGAGCGAATGGTTCGCTCGGTAAAGGCAGCAATCGGAACCATTTTGGAAGTGCAACGACGGCCGGATGACGAGGTTCTGTAAACGGTGATGATTGAAGCTGAGGCGATGATCAACACGAGACCGCTCACGTACATTCCGTTAGAGTTAGCCGATCAGGAAGCCTTGACCCCTAACCATTTTCTCTTGGGGAGCTCAAGTGGAGTGAAACAACGTCCAACGATGCCCGTGGATTATCGTGCAACTTTGAACAGTGGATGGAAGCTTGCCCTGCACTTGACGGATGCAATATGGAAGCATTGGATCAAGGAGTACTTGCCGGAGATTTCGAGAAGGTCGAAGTGGTTCGAGGAAGTGAAGGAGATAGCGGAAGGAGATCTGGTGCTGATCGTGAACGATACGGTACGAAATCAGTGGATCAGAGGGAAGGTGGATAAGGTCATTCAAGGAAAGGATGGACGGGTTCGGCAAGCGTGGGTGCGGACGGCGAACGGAACATTACGGAGACCAGTGGTAAAGGTGGCGTTACTCGACGTCGTAGATGGTGGTAAACCGGAAGCCGCATAATGGTTTACGGGCGGGGGAATGTGACGACGAGTACCGCTCGGCGCGTAACGATCGCTAGTTATCACAGGGTAGCTACGCGCATCGATGAGCATTGCCGAACCCGGTGGAACGAAGAAATGTCATCGCGGTTTGACACGGAAGATCAGGCGAAAGAAACGAAATGTAAACATTGACAATAAAGAGTTCGTATGCAAGTCATGTTTTATGCAGGCAATTAATTTAATTAAAACTAGTTTATATTTAAAAGTTAACAAATAGTAAATTAGTGTTCAGTTCGATAAACTGTAAGTAAATAATGAAGTAAATGATGAAGTTAATATTAATTACAATGATACATTTGTTCCTTATAGCAGAACACCTAACCTAACATTTGTAGTCACTAAAGGAAGTTAGTCGGAAGAAATACTGGAAAATTGTAGGTAATTAATATTGTTACAGTGATAATATTACTAAAAATAAAATGCTGTAACAAACTTCGAGTTTTACGGGACGCTAAAAGAAATCAGTTTCAACACCATAGTTGATAAGGTTAACATCATTGGGGCTTCATCCAGCCTGTTGATGTAAAACAACAATAAACACATACATGTTACGTGAAATTCAGATGAATTTCAATAATATTGATAATGGATGAAAATTATGTGCGTTTCCAATGGAAGCTGACACACAACATCGTTAATGTTAATGGTTTGTTTCTATCAAATAATATAACCTTGGTCTCCTTTTCAGGTCCTTCTTGATCGAAGAAAAGTGTCGCTTCTTGTCCAACTTTAGCCAAAAGACTGCAGAAGTCGAATTGCCCGGTGAACTTTTGTTGCCCAAACATTCGCATTATCATATCCGGATAGCCCGTTTCATGCCACGAGTGGATATCGTTCAGAAGCACAATACCGCTGCCCGACGGTTATATATTCGTGGAACCAATGGCAAAATCTATCCATACTTGGTGGTAAACGACACAGGTCTCGGCGACGCTCGACGCGAGGAACGAGTGTTGCAGCTGCTGCGTATGTTGAACAATTATCTCGCCAAACAGAAGGAAACTTCGAGACGATTCTTGCACATTACTGTGCCAAGAGTTGTAGCTGTTTCACCACAAATGCGACTGGTTGAGGACAATCCATCGAGCATTTCACTGCTGGATATTTACAAAAATGGTTGTGCTAAATTAAACATTGAACATGACGCACCGATTGCCCGCTATTACGAACGGCTAGCAAAAGTACAAGCACGGGGATCACAAACAAACCACACCGTTTTGCGGGACATTTTACGAGAAGTTCAAACAACGATGATCCCCAAGACGATGTTAAAAGATTGGGCTGTTAGAAACTTCCGTTCAGCGACTGATTATTGGCAGTTTAGAAAGATGGTATTATTCTAAGCAGCAAAATGTTAAACAGCTTCTAATCAATCATCTTCTTGTCTTTCAGTTTACGCTTCAACTATCTCTTTCTTGTCTTATGGAATACAGCTTATATCTCACTCGTCTGAATGCAGACATGATGTATCTTCACCAAGACTCTGGACTAATGAACGTTTCCTACTTCAAGTTCGATGTCGATGATAACACAGGACTATTGGACGTCAATCGACCAGTGCCATTCCGGTTGACACCTAACATCGTGGAATTCTTATCGACTATTGGAGTATCTGGTCCATTGACTGCTTCCACCACAGCAACGGCTCGTTGCCTTGTGCAACCGAATTTCAAACTTCCAACAATTCTAAGAGCCATTCTACGGGACGAAATCATTGCAGTGCAAAAAAAACGCATTCTGGATGAAAAGGTAATCGATCAGAATACTGATCTTTCGCAGGAAAATCCGGCAGTGGAGATTGACTCCGAGACGGTAATCAATACTGTAAACAAAGCGGTTAACAATATTATGGCCCGACTGAATTGTTTGGCTCGGTTCGATAATTCCGAGGTAAACAGAATGAGTACACTTGTACAAGTTGCTAGTAATGCGGATAATCTTTGTCGAATGGACCCAACGTGGCACCCTTGGTTGTAAAATTCATGCGTCCTAAAATCGATGTTCAATTATCGGTTGAGTATACTCCACAGTTACTCAAATATAATATTTGATAATAGATTAGTTAGTAAGGTTAATCAAGTAGTAGTAATTATTTGTAGAGAAATCCCTTTTTTCAATAAAGCATGTCGGGCTTTATTATTTTACTGTACCGTCGATACCTTACAACGCAAGAATGCATTGAAAAAGAGTTGGACTGTTGCTTACCGTATCCACTAATCAGCTGAGACAGTGGGACTTCACGCGATTTTTACAGAGGTAGGCCTACTTTTGCCTCTATCCTCGGATAAAAAGCGATGATAGATATTGTCTTCAAAATGTCATCAATTTTTTGGCATGATATACCGTGTCACTGTTGTAAACATTGCAATAACAAGCCCATTTATTGATATTGATGTTACTTTCATGAAATCAAAATTGTCCAGGTTCATGTCATGTCCTTCTGGAATTCTTAAGATTTTTTTTGCCTGTGTAGTTTCGTCTCGTGATAGTGAGAGGCTGCGAAGAGCTGTTTTCTCATTCTCACATGACGGTCGTTATATTTACCAGCTCTGACAACAACACTACTTCTATGTAACGTGATTCAGAGATTCGATTGCGCAATGGATCATAGACGGTAGACTACAGGGAATGCCCATTTTGCCCCAATTTACCCATGATTGGCGACTAAGTTACATCGCTTTGACATCCATTTCCGATACTTTGGAACAGCTGTGGGTTAAAATCACCACGCCTAGTCGAGTTGTTAGTGTGGGTGTGATCTATTGACCGTTTATTTGTTTATTTTTGTTTATTTGTTATGTTTGAATCTACAGACTAGAAATAGTCCCAATGATGTGTTGTAAAAAAAAGTTCAGATTATACAGACTACATATACTACAGTTACTACAGTTACAAACGAAAATAACTAGGAAAGCGTCAAGTTACTAAAAATTTATAAGTCTTAAATTTTACACTTAGCTGTTGGGCATCAAGCGCCTTCGGTCAGCAAAAAAGGCAGAGCATCTTCGGCGAAGCATATTCCGTGTCAAGTGGAAATCGAACATCGACGCTACTCGGTTGAACACTCGCTGCAAGCCGTAAATAGCGCTCCCTAAGCTATAATTAGTTCGAAGAAGTGCAAGTCTCAGCATAAGACTGTTGCGTAGTGATCGAGGTTGAACATTAATGTTCACTTGTTGTAGAATTGCTTCGCATTCGATGCGTCCTTTCAGTGCGAGGGTTAAAGCTCTGAAAACATCTCTTCGGATACGTTCGACATTGAGCAATTGGCAGCGATTCTCGTACACTGAGGAAATAATTCGTTCGAATTTCATACGAAATGCTTATGGATTTTAACCAAAAGAATTTGTTTTGAATTTCATACGATAGCATTATGAACGCACGCCTTCGTTATCGTGTATGATTTTCGCTATATATCGATATGAGTTTCATAAAGCTGTCGTATGAAAATAGTACATTATGATTATGATCGTGAATATTTATGCTCCTTCAGATTTTGTTTTATTTTTCATATGAAATTAATTTAATTAAGTAAAACAAACAATTAAATAATTTGATTTGCATTGTCTATTTGATTTAACCTGCAGCTAAAATAAATCAATTGAAAAAAATATATTAGTTTATATTAGCACGAGACAATGCCTGAAATATTTTTTCCTTGGTCCACGTTATTAAGGCTGCCGTATTTACACCACACTCTGTAATTTTAGTCGAAATTCATTGATTAAATAGTAATATAGATGCTAATTTGTACCCGGGACATCCTTTTACACTGAATTTAGCGTTTTTTACCTCTGAACACAGGCAAAGCATTCACCGGAACCTTGAGATCCGATAACAATTGCTGTTTGTTTAGGTGTTGAGGAGCCCCCCGGTGAGCCCCTTCATACAACCGAACTTTTTTCTGTGGGTTAATGACAACAAAAAAAAACAAGTGAGCCAGTTCGAAACCAATCGTATAATGTGATAGATAACCAGAACAAAGAAAGATAAATACAGAACCTTTGTAACTTTTTATGCAATAAAGAACACGTTTTCGTTGAAGTGATCGGGCGCGAGTTGGTTCCTTTAGTGCTCGAAATTCCAGTCCAAGTGAAGGGCCCTCCATACAGTCCATATTGAAACATTTGGTCCTTCGAGCCGGATCATGGCGAACCTGGAGAAGCTGTTTTCTCGCCGCAATGCGCTAGTGGCCCAAGTGAAAGGAGAGTTTTCGGTCGCGAAAAACCTCAGCGATGCCAACTCGCAAAGTGAGGTTAGAGAACGGCTGGATCAACTCAAAGTGCTTGCTGAGAACTTCCGAGCTACACAAGGGGAAATTGAGGAGAATCAAAAGGATCCGACAGCAATTGCATCCGTATTTGATGTGCGTGAGAATTTTTTCGGTGTCTACTACCGAGCGAAGAATATGTTCGAGACTTTTCTGGATGATGTCGAGAAATTGGACAAGGAGACGCAAACAAGCTGGTCGCAGAAGGTCATCGAGAACGATAATCCGACATTCGAGGATTTGTTGTCGTTCCTAAAGCAGCGGTGTGAAGCGTTGGAGACGTGTTCGGCGTTTTCAAGGAAGGAAGTTTTTAAAAAAGATGCAGCCAAATCAGTGAATTTCGAAAATAAATTGCAGTAGCATCGAACCAAAAGTGCGCGAAATGTTCAAAAGAGCATAATACGTTTTTCTGTGAAGATTTTAAGCAAATGAGTGTAGAAGATCGCCGAAGCTTGGCTCAAAAGGCTAGACTGTGTTTTAACTGCTTGAGGCCGTTCCATACTGCCAAGTCGTGTTCTTCTAAGTCAGTATGCCATACTCCGGAATGCAAACAACGGCATCATACGCTGCTGTGTCCCGTTGCGAAGAAATTTGAACGTGCCGAAGATAAGCCGAATGAAAATGATGTTCCGGAAAAGATCGTGACGGAGAGTGAAGATAAAAATGTTGCGGTTCTGATGGCGGAATTGCCCGTAGAGGAGCACCGCACCATTCCTCTGCTGCCAACGGCAGTTGTGAATGTACATAAGGCGGACGGAAGCTTCTTGCGTGCGCGAGTGTTGATCGATTCCGGATCGCAAGCTACATTAGTGTCAGAGGATTGCGTTAGGAAATTGGAACTGCCGAGGCGTAGCGGTAAGCTGGTGTAGCATACTATAAATCATCTAAATTGAATCTGACCTACAATCTCAAATTTCATGACGAAGACATTTTCGAGACCTACAAAGTCGAGCCACTTGTAAACCAAACAAAAGTGCCATCCGCACTTGTTGTTCCACAGATATATAAACAGTCAAATTATTGCAACCACATGTTTTCCTTTTGCGCTATGACCCAGAATGCGCGAACAGAATAATAAGCGCAGCGACAATGACAGCGACCCGGAAAACAACAGACCCAAATTCTTTCCTCATATCTTTTCGGCAACCTTCGTCTATGTACTCGGGCGAATGGAATCGCGTAACTGGTCACCATCACCTACGACGAAGTCACGTGATTGGTTGATTATGTTTGGAGACTAGTAAAGGTTACCTCCTACCGATTAAGTACGAAATGTAGAGTTAAGTTTCTTAGACTTAAGTGGTGCAAATACAAATCAGTCAAAACTCATTACTCGAACCGGCAACATGCCCTTACTCCAAAAATATCACGAGCCATAGAAATATAACGTTACACTGGTAGTCAGTAGCCCTGGTGGTCAGCAGGAGGTAGGGTTCACTCGTGGTGTAGTTTCACTACGACTAGCGTCCAGATTCAGCAAATGTATCATCATTACAACCAATGCTTACGTTCTCGGTAAGTTGACGTCTACTATTCCTTCGCAACGTTTCAAGCTAAGCAACATGAAGCTGCTAGAGAATATCAATGAGCTGGCGGACCCGTTGTTCAACAGACCGGCTTCCATTGACGTAATTTTGGGATCCGACGTCTTTCTTGCGCTTCTCGAGGGAGGTCAAGTCAAGGACGAATGCGGCCTAACGGTGGCCCAACGCACGGTTTTCGGATGGATTGTAGCGGGGAGGTACGACGAAGCCGAGTCCATTGCCAGCAATTATGCTATGATCAATCTGCACACGGAAATGGACTTGAATCGTACCCCATAAAAGTTCTGGGAGCGAGAGGAGCTGCGTAACAAACCACAGTTGACTCGTTTTGAAAAGGTGGTTGAATTTTTCAAATCGACCTTGTCGCGTGATGATAATGGGCGCTTCATTGTTCGTTTGCCGTTCGACAATTCGAAGCCACTCCTGGGAGAATCGATGACAGCTGCACTGAAGCGGCTCAAGTCGATACAAAAGCGATTCGAAAAACAACCGGAATTCAAGCGAGAATACGAAGCTTTCATGCGTGAATATCTGGAGTTGAATCATATGGAGGAGGTTCCACCTCAGGAAATCAATAAAGATCGAGTGGAATGCTTCTATCTACCGCATCATGCGGTTATCAAAAGGGAGAGCTCTACGACAAAGCTTCGCGTCGTTTTCGATGCCTCCTATGCATCCTCGACGGGAGTGTCATTGAACGATCGGCTTCTAGCGGGGCCAAATAACAACGAAGATCTTTGGCCGGTATCACTACGATTTCGTTCATACCGAGTAGCATTCAGCGGTGATGTTGCAAAAATGTATCGCCAAGTTTGGGTGGCCAAAGAGGATCGAGACTACTTGCGAGTTCTGTGGATCGACGAAGCAGGACAGGTCAAACACTACCGGCTCTGTACAATTACATATGGGACTAAGACGGCGCCGTATTTGGCAATCGAATCTATGCGAAAGGCAGCAAAACCTTTTGAGGAGGTTTACACGGAAGCAGTAAAGCGAATCACTACTGATTTCTACGTTGATGATTTCTTGTCAGGAACTGACGATGAAGCCGAAGCGAAGCAGCTCAAGGATCAGGTGACGGAGATCCTAGGTTCAGCGGGTTTTGAGTTGCGGAAATGGTCCTCCAACAGTGAAGCGTTACTATCAGAAGAATCGACACCGGTACCTATCAAGCTTTCGGGGCAAGCAGATTTTGTTAAGGCCTTGGGTATTTTGTGGTATCCCCCAGAAGATGAGTACGGTTTCAAAGTTAGCCTTCAAA